CCCGCTCGAAGTATTTCGCGATTTGCTGGTAATAATCGTACTTGAGAATCTCCTGGTTGTGTTTCTGCGCGGCCAACTGGTATTGCCTCTCTCGAAATCGGCCCACCCTTTAAACACGACAAGCTTCGTTGATGATCTCTCGACAATATTTCGAATCTGACAGGGATAAAGAGAAATTAACGATTTCGAAGATGTTAGATAGGAAGGTAGCTGTACTTTATTGACAGAAACGTGATAAAAATTTGATGTTAACGGTACAATGTTTCCTAAGTATAACTGCAAACTGTCTTATACGTTATCTAGAAGCATTATATCATCGACGCATAAAGCGCCAAAGCGTTACTAGGTCGAAGAGATTCACCGAACGCTGTTCTCCTCGACAGGGTCCGTGACGATCGATCCGACCTTCGTCGTGTCGATCGGCACACGGGTGCATCGTAAACAGACGTGGGCTACGTCGTAGGATCAAGAGAAGAGGCGTTTTAACCGAGACAGTCACCGAAAGCATCCTAGAAGAAGAGGACCGTCTTCTATTTCGAGCTTGCGTCTTTCTGTGACGTCACGTGGCCGAAAATATCGCGCGGTTAGGGAGGTGCAGTCGTGGCCCTGATGTGTGGTCCAGGTCTCAATCTTTCCCAGACTCCCAAAAATTCTCAACCACTTCGCTCTTCGACAATTCCTCCTGTCGACGTTCGCGACGATCGATCGTCCGCTGATCGGTAAGGGAGCCCCCAGTTCGGTCGCGACAGCTTTTTCCCCTCGGTCCACGGGACCAGCGTGAGTCGCGAGGACAATCCGCAAGATTTCCCGAGTGTGAAACGTCTCGAGAAAAGTGGGTCGTGGCTCTCCCACGTAAAACCGATCCCCACCTTTTCATTTCGTCGTCTAGGAGTCCGTCAGTGGCGCATCGGACACGTCCTCGAGAGGATCCTCGTCGATTCGCACGGCCCTCGTGGTCCTCGAGAACCGACACCGATACAGCCCCCGTGCCTTTTGGTCCGCTTCCACTTGACAGTGGTGGAAGTCGATGCGAAACGGTCGAAGCTAATAGCCGAAGAGAGCCCTGTGACACGAGTAAAGAAGAATGCCCGGAGCCGGTGGTCAACCACCGCAGAGGACCACCTTCAGGCCGCCATGGGTCAAGGAAGGTCCCACACCTTTGCCTATGCCTACTGCACCCTGGACCCTTAATTCCAGGAGAGATTCCAAGTCGAAAGCCGACGAACCGCCTCCGTTTACCCAAGTTACTCTCAAAGTAAGTCTTTCTCCTTACTCGACGTCCAATACGTCTATCGTCTACGAAAATGCTTTTAAATACCGCGAATATTTTAGCGAAATGACAAGATTGTATCGTCTGCGAAATATCGAGCATAATTTCGAGTCACTTCGATCCTCTACTTTCATCCATTCCGTACCCTCAGAGACCCTAGCGCATCGTCTGATCCGACACGTACTTATTCCACTAGAACCGACCAAGGATCACACTCCCATCTTCAGCAGCCTTTTCCATTCAGATATTAGGTTTCAAAGTCACCAGATCTTACTATTAATAACCCGCGTGGGTGTCGTGTAACAAGTTCGCGTTATAAACATTTCGATCAGCAGAAATTTGCAAGGGCGTTGCATTCAAAATATATCCGTTTGTGCAACTATTATTATTATTAGAAACACGAAGCTGCAATTCGAGCGAGGGAGTCATAATTCGCGTTAATAATCATCCGCCACCTACGCTGTCTCGCTTCTTCTACGTAATTCGTCTACGTCGATTATTCCAATGATTCCAACTGTTCTTTTGTTTATTTATATTTTTCTTGTCGCGCTTCGATTCCGAAACGCGTACTTTCGATATTTTGGCAACCAGCCACGCGAACGGATTCTCGAACCGACGAAAATGCGAGAAACGCGATGTTCGAAGTACCAAAGACACGTGGAAGCGTCATGAACATTCGCGTCACGATATTGTTTACAACTGTCGCTCCTACTTAGATCACCGACGGATTTGATCGCGATTTACGGGCCTTCCGGTCACCCATCGATCGATATTTCGAGTTCTTGAAACATTCGAAATTTATGGCTGAAAGTTGTCCAACAAACGCCAAAGTTGTCCAAGAAAGTTCCAAAAATACTACCAGCCGTTCTTCGAAACGTCTTTTCGGATCATAAACACCTCAGCAATGAATCAAAATCAAACATTTATTGTCGTCATTTGTAATTGTAGGAAGCACTTTGAAAGATAGAGAACCAGGATCGACGCGCGTTAGAATTGGAAGAATTTAAAATTTTGATAGAATTTCGTAATTAAGAAGGCGGGATTTATTGGGACTGTGACTGACTGTACGTGCATGTGCCTACGCGAGCTATCGAAAGATTAGATCAATTTCACTTTCTCGATACGGGAGGGATCATACGGAAGGCTAGCCTCGCGAGTCCTCGCATATAAGCCTCTGGGTCACGATTATTTAAAGAACACGCGTTTCTATTTCAAATGTCTTGCCAGCTGCGTCTTCCGCCAGTTTCTTAACGAGTTTATATTACACTTTCGCGTAAATGTAGCGATAAGTTACACTGGATTCGCGTATCTTCGTCCAAAAATCTAAACGTGCCTACATTCCATTCACCATCGCCATTTCTGTGCCCGTGTCGTAATTTCATTCATAAAGCAACGGATCGACGAATAAATCGTATTCCTTCCTTTTTCCTCATTTTTTCAAGGGAGAGATTCGACGTTACGAAAATATGGATCGGAACGTCTAGCTTAAGAACGATCGCGAAGGAAGTGCGATTTAGATTATTTAAAGACGACCGAACCAGCATCGATACTTGCCAAGAGAATTCTCGAGGCTTTCTTTCTTTAGGACCGAAGGATGCTGGGTGGGGGTGTACACGCTGTTTTTCTCTTTTATCTATTTTTCAATGCGACTACCATTCGCGATACGCCAACAGATACTATTCTTTTGTTCCCTTTGACACGCGTCGAAATGAACGAGTCTTACGAGTAATCGGGCTGATGTAAGATACGGGCCCGTGGATGTAAATGTTCGTCGATCGTGAACAATGAAGTGATTGTGACTGAAAAATTGAGTACGCGTCGACTGACGACTGGCATGCAAAGCTGCTGGTTCGACGAGCGTCACTTCTAGGCTTCTCGAATGTAGCGTGCACAGAGATCGGTACAGAGATCGGACATGAAATCGGACACGAAATTGGACATAGAATCGAACGTGAAATCGGACACACAAGACGGGTAAAAGAAACGTGTAAAATAAATGTTACAAAATTCGTTTAGGGAGGGCAAAGAGTCAGAGTGGAAATGTTAGACAGAAAACAGCGTGGACAGAGTGGACGGTGGAAACGTTGACTGGTGAAAAATGTAGAAGAGGCGAATAAAATGGTTGCTCGATTTTGCAGAGTGTACCGAAAGCAGAAGCGAAGCCCTCGACGGATGCACAGCCGCGTAAACAGAGCAAGATCACAATAATCCCGTCACAGCCTAAAAGCGAAAAGAATACGAGCAGTCAACCGGCACCGACGAAGCTCCGCGAGAATGGACGGCAAGAGCCAAATTCGAGGCCACAGCTCGAACGACAGCTTCGAATCGAGAGGTCTCGATCTCGAGGTGACACGGTACCTCTCTCCAAGAGCGAGAGCAGCACAGGTAACACGGCGTGAACTTGATTTCTGCGCGAAACCCTCCTAGACACAACCTAAAACGATAAAAGTCCGTCGTAATAACGTAAACATTAGCGAGCTACCAGACCTGTTCTAATCCGCGATCGATAGCTATCTTTAATATTACGTGCAAACGATAATCGTCTAGTCTAAGAAATAAAAAGAAAAATACGTATTTCGAGCGACTTACCTTACCCCGAAGTAATTATCTCGTATTAAACGTACAAGAGAGAAAATTCTCGACGCCACTTGGCCACGATAAAAATAAAGTTTTCTTATAAATAGGAGCGCCGACATTATCGAAAAGCTCGTCGAGGGCAGCGATCCCGCCACCGCCACCTCCGAGACCTCCACCACCGCCTCCGAGTAGAACGATTCTGAAGGATCTCGAGCCGCTAAACGAGACGCAACAACAGAAACTGGAAATGCTGAAACAAAGACCACGGAAACGTCCCGACTGGGCGAGCATGATGAAGGAAGTCGAAAGCGGAAAGACCTTGAGGCACGTGAAGTGCAACGACAGGAGTGCGCCCTTGATCGAGAGGGTGAACAAGGTTACAGCTGATCCAGCAGGTGATCGTCGATCGAACTTCGATCCTACTCAGATTTCCCTTGGGCAATACTCTTAAGAGGAACCGGTTTCACCGTGTTGGTCGATTAGTCGCTAGTAGAAAACCCTCTGCTTTGTTACGTCCCCCTCAGCCACCTTTTTACCCTACTCTACCTACTGTAAATGTCGATCCAAAAGGGGCGCACACCGCGCCGACCAGTGTAATTAATTAAATTGTTAACGAACTTTCATTCGACCAGCCTTTGTTTCTGAACTGTGATATGACCTGTTTGTAGTACACGTAGTCGTTATTGTTCTGGCCCTGTTCTCCTGCAAGGGAACCCCCCCTCTGTAGTTGAATAATATTATTATCGTTTGAATTAACTGTTGTCTTCGTATTTCGTGGCTTTTTGTCGACATCCATTCTCCTTTTTCCTCGTCCCACAAATCAATCTTTAGCGAGCTTTACTTCGAGCGTTCTGCGAAGCGTTGACGAAGTAAGGAGGACGAATCAGTGGGGATTCGTTGTTTCAAAGTTGTCTCTGAATTGTATTACCTTGTAAATGTTTCGCGTATGTTGTACTGATTGAGTGTTTCTAACCAGGGAAGGCACACTTTGTGTTCGAATCCGAAAAATCGAACATGCATAACGAATTGCTGAAGCAGATTCAGGAGGGTGTGAAACTGAGGAGAGTCCAGACCAATGACCGGTCGAAACCCATGCTAGAGGGATTAAGGAAGTTTCGAAGGCAGCTGACGATAGAGGAGCAAATGCAGAAAGCTGAAGAACCCACGGATGACTCGATTTCGGATGACATGGATGACATTGATGCCGTCAGGGATGACCTACAGAGTACCAAGCAAATGCTTGCCCTTGAGCTCAGGAATAGGGAAGCTTTGGAAAGGGAGAACAAAAGATTACAAGTGCGTTTCGTTAAAGGATTTGGATCGAGGGGACCAATCATCTACTGACTTTCTCTAATGCTCTTTACAGGCAAGGATCCTAAATCTCGAAGCGGAAGTCCAACACGAGAAATCCCAGAAGAGTGTACAAGAGCAAAAGAAGTACGACGAGAAAATCACAGAATCGTTGAAAAAGGACGCTCAACAAGCTAGGAAGGAAGCAGAGAAATTCGAAAAAGAATATATCCATATATCAGAAGAGAGAGACAAATTAAAAAATGAATTGGAAGAAATGAGAAGAATGTATGCTACCTTAGAAAGGCGAATGAAAGCTGGTACGAGCCGATTAACAATTATTTGCTATTTAACAATTATTTGCGCACATTACATATGATAATTAAAAATCTTGTTTCAATAACGCGAATAACAAAGACTTTTAATGAAGAACTAGATCTCTGAACCGATGTAGTTTCAGTTCTCCATTAATAGTACTGTATCGCTTATGCTTAAACTAATTCTGCTTCTTTATTAAACGCTTTGCGGATTAGAGCAAGAGCTTGAGCCTGAGCCAGTAATTGAGCTAGCAGATGATGGCGACGAAGCAGCTTGGTACAATGTTTCAGGCATGGCACTGGCTGGTTGTCCAAGTGCAAAAGATGTAGCAAAAATTGCTTCTCAGAAAAGCATAGATAAAAGAGAACCAAGCGAAAGCGAAGAAGAAGAGGAGGAAGAAAGCTCGGAGGAAGAAGATGACAAGGATCCAAATGCAGGAGAGAAAAGGTTACAAAGAGAGATTAAGCTTCTGACAACCAAGATTAGGAATTTCAAGTAAGTAAATATATGCGGAAATTTAATCTGTAATAAAAATTAATAATACTGCGATTAAATAGAGATAAAGCGGTTAATGCCAGAAAAGAAAGACACGCTTTAAAAGATCAGATAAAGCAGCAACATAAACTGCTGAAAGAAGAGAAAAAGAAGTTTAAACATCTTCAAAAGGAAGTTGATAAAATGGCAAAGTTAATGTCAGAAGCTGAAGATGATGAAAAAGATGAAGAAGAAGAAGACGAAGAAGAAACAGAATCTGAAGAATCGGAATCCGAGGAATCCGAAGATGAAGAAACTGAAACAGAAGATGAAGATCAATCTTTAGAAGGCCAGAGAAATATTTTACAGGTATATAAAGAAATATTATATATAAAATGTTATATAATTTTATATGTGTTTCTTCATTTTTTATTAATTTTATATATATATTTTGACAGAAAAAAGCTAAAAAGCAGGAAGGACGTTTAGCAGCATTAAGAAAGGGTAACTATCTACTCAAAGCACAAGTTGATAGATTGAAAGATGATTTAGGAAAACAACGAGAAGAGAGCCTTTCTCTCCAAGAAGATCTGGATTCTGTATTAGCAGAATTAGGTTAAGTTAATGTAAAAAAAAAAAAGTCTAAAAATTATTATGGACAATTGTATACATACACATATAAGTATTACATATTGAAATATAGAAAATTTTATGTCTGAAAAACCAGACGCACAAAACTAATACACGCACACTCACCTAGACGCCTTTTGTAGAAAATCTTACATTCAAACAGAATTTTTGTTCTATCAACTGCAGGGAATGAAACTACTATTTTATAGTACTGACGGGTAAACGCACTAATTTGTTTTCCTTTTTTTTTTAGTATCTATAGTAACGAACTAAAAAAGAAATATCAAAACGTATCTATCGATCAAAACAAAAGACAGACACATCATGTAAATTTTCTATACAAGCTTTACGTATACATCGTAATATTTTCTGCAGATATGAAAACTGTTTATATGAGATTATAAATATTGCTTTTTTTTTGCTATAATGTTGTTAAATATTTTTTAATAAAGACAATTATCACTCGACGATAATATTTCTAAGAGGTTATTGCAAACTAAAAATCAACACAACACTCACATGCTTGTAATTGAAATTAATCGATGAGCAGGTTTTCCAGAATGTACAAGCTTTATTTTTCAACGACGATATTTTATTTAGAATACACAATAACATAAATAACTATGTTTATTACGACTTCTAAAAAACTACAACTACTCGTTAAAGTAGTTTGAAAAGAAACGTACACATGACGTATGATAAAATCCCTAGTGATGCTTCTTACATTGGCGTATTTGCGTATTGGCGTAAATATTTCAATTTGCATTTAGTTTATATTACGAGCATATAGTTATCGTTATTAACAAATATATAAAGTTTTCGTTTTGTAATTACATGTTTATTAAATAATTCTTTTTCTTTCCATCGACATCTCTGGCAATACAATGAAGAAAGGAATCCGAAATGTCGAAAATAAATAAGCCGAGATGATAGCGGTACTTTTAAAGTTCAAAATTATATTTGAAAATCAGAATATCACTATTGTTTTCTGTGAATTACATATTTTGTACAGTGATCATCGTTTTAGAACATTATTTGTATCTTAAGTGTTTCTAAAACTTGCTTCAATTATAAAACTGTACTCGCCATAAACATCTTCACAATGACGAGTATAATAAAACGGATTACACTGAGCGTTAAGTTGGAAAAATATGCTGAATCTTAGTGCGTGTAAATCGTGTTTTCCAAGAGACATTTTCACAAAGATGATACAAATAATGTGAGATATTTCAATTATACAGCTAACGTTAGTTTCAAAGTGCAGGTAATTAAATTCTTATTGCTTGATATTATTATCACTCTCTTTTTTAGTATCTATAGTAACGAACTAAAAAAGAAATATCAAAACGTATCTATCGATCAAAACAAAAGACAGACACATCATGTAAATTTTCTATACAAGCTTTACGTATACATCGTAATATTTTCTGCAGATATGAAAACTGTTTATATGAGATTATAAATATTGCTTTTTTTTTGCTATAATGTTGTTAAATATTTTTTAATAAAGACAATTATCACTCGACGATAATATTTCTAAGAGGTTATTGCAAACTAAAAATCAACACAACACTCACATGCTTGTAATTGAAATTAATCGATGAGCAGGTTTTCCAGAATGTACAAGCTTTATTTTTCAACGACGATATTTTATTTAGAATACACAATAACATAAATAACTATGTTTATTACGACTTCTAAAAAACTACAACTACTCGTTAAAGTAGTTTGAAAAGAAACGTACACATGACGTATGATAAAATCCCTAGTGATGCTTCTTACATTGGCGTATTTGCGTATTGGCGTAAATATTTCAATTTGCATTTAGTTTATATTACGAGCATATAGTTATCGTTATTAACAAATATATAAAGTTTTCGTTTTGTAATTACATGTTTATTAAATAATTCTTTTTCTTTCCATCGACATCTCTGGCAATACAATGAAGAAAGGAATCCGAAATGTCGAAAATAAATAAGCCGAGATGATAGCGGTACTTTTAAAGTTCAAAATTATATTTGAAAATCAGAATATCACTATTGTTTTCTGTGAATTACATATTTTGTACAGTGATCATCGTTTTAGAACATTATTTGTATCTTAAGTGTTTCTAAAACTTGCTTCAATTATAAAACTGTACTCGCCATAAACATCTTCACAATGACGAGTATAATAAAACGGATTACACTGAGCGTTAAGTTGGAAAAATATGCTGAATCTTAGTGCGTGTAAATCGTGTTTTCCAAGAGACATTTTCACAAAGATGATACAAATAATGTGAGATATTTCAATTATACAGCTAACGTTAGTTTCAAAGTGCAGGTAATTAAATTCTTATTGCTTGATATTATTATCACTCTCAAGTTACGTACATAATATGCACATTAACAAAATAAAACTGAAAAGTAAATTTTTATATATATATATAAAAAAAAAAAAAATATGTAATCGTATGTACATTCGTTTACATAAAAACATTCGGCATTACATTTAACATAGCTTAGGTCGAAAATTAAAACATTCGTGTAATATACATGTTTTCAGCGTAACGTTAATTATCTATCTAATATTATGAAATGGTATAGTCGAATATATTTCATTGCGCGTTTTCGGTTTTATAATTAGTGTATGAGTTTACATGGTCAACAGGCTGCTTTAGTTTCGCGACTTTCATGTCAGTTAGTAATCTTCATGTTGGGAATTTATCCAAACACACATACAAATAAATATACCTCTTTCTTTTGTATCAATATATCGGCGATTGCTAGCGTCGATATGCTAATCTGTTGAGTCTTTTGCAAGACTATTAACGTCAACAGTTGTTTCTTTTACCCGCATTTGTATTTTTACATCCATATAGAATTACAAAATAAATACCGTACGTATGCATTTTTAGCAATACGTTGATAAAAATTTCCATATCGATGTAAGTATTACATTTCGACTTAATAGAATACTGAATATTAAGCGAGTAATGATTTTACTGGTTGTAAGGTTAGCGAAATCTAATATTTCACTTTTGTGTTCACAAGTTTTGTGTTTAGTAGGAATGCTAATAATTGGCAATATTTTGACATATTTTAGATTCGGCTAGTGCAGCTTTGCATTAATTATTTCGAAATAGTTTTTAGAATTTGCATTACTTATTTAATATTCTGTATTCATTAAAATATTTCCGAAGTCTGCACAGAGCTATCTAGGTACAAAGGAAGACAGCATCTACCATGATAAAAAGCAAAAAGTAAAATTTCTTGGTCATTTCAAATCATATGCAAGCAGTGTTTTTTTTTTTTTCCTTTTTTACTCGAATCGCACAGGGACATCGACAAAACTAAACATTATGAAATAGAAATCCTATACTAGTCAGGTCCATTTTCTTATATTATGAAGATGCGATACGGTGCTAATGGATTTTTATGACAATAAATAATTATTAATTGAAATTCGGCATAACGTTCATTAGTTGTCATACTTCATGATTCTGTATGGTAACCGAATTGCACTTGCCGAAAATTTTCGTAACAACCAAACACATCTTTTCATGTAACTTTAGTTTCTGTTTTAAATTTTTTTTCTTCCACCAATTTAACATCAGTTACATGCAAATTATGAATACTTTTTGCAGCAAATTTAATTACAGATTGAGTTGAAACTTGAGTCGTGTGTCTGAGATCCAAACGTTTAAGCACTTTACATCTTGCCAAATGATCCAATGTTGTTTCTGTAAGTAATCTACAATTTGCCAAATTCAGTGATACCAGGTTCGTTACTGCTTGCGCTGGCGGAGTTGCTAATTGAGCTACACCAGCGTCAGTAACTCTACCGCAAGAAGAAAGATCTAATGTCTCGAGATAGGGTAAGTGTTGAACTATATATCTCAAAGCTACATCAGTTATATCACATCCAGCCAAAGATAAATTTTTAAGATGTTTTAATCTTGAAGTTTTATCAATTAGACCAGGCCTCGAATCTGTAGGTGGACTGAGAACTTCTCTTAGACTTGAATCATTTAGTCCAGATACATGACTTAGATCTAAGATAACAAGTGGTGGACAAGTGCAAGTTCTTAAAGCACAGACTCCATTCCACGTGCAACCTTGTAGAGATAGCGTTCTGAGTTGTGGTAATCTACTTAACAGCCATGCTAATTGTCTTTTAGTAACATTTGTCCAGTCAAGAGACAGATTTTCCGGTTGACGGCGTATTATACCAGTTAAATGTAAAGCTGTTAAATGGGAATGAGACATGTCCAATTTCCTCCACAAACTAGGATCTATACTATATCTGGCCCATGTACGGCAAACCAAGGCACAATTCGCCAGGTCCTTTGCATTTAAAAATCTAAAAATAGCAAGTAATGCTGTCTTGTCATATGCTAAAGATTGTCCATTAAAATCGGGCCCTGGTCTTTGAACAGGCGGAAGTGGAACAGGCCTAACCACCACGTGGGGCCTCTTCAATGACTTACTACTTGAACCAGTTAATTGTACAGCTAATTGTGTACGCAAAGCTGTTCGCTGTTCACCCTCAGCCGGATCTCTGTCATTCCATGCCTGGAATTTTTTGTATAGAAACCATGAATATTTCGTATTCTTAGACCGTTTCAGATTCCATTTGGGGACTTACATCGCTGGGATCGGGTCTTGAACGTTTACTTGGTGTAGTTGCCCTTTCAGAATCTGTTGTGGGTGCTGATGAAGCTGCACTAGACACAGAAAGTTTTCGAGCACGAGCCTTAGGTTGACGTGGCCTACAATCTAGATTTCGACCGCTTTCACAACACTCAGGACATTCCCAACTGTTCGGTAAATCATCGCTAACGGTTATAGTTTGGGGATCCAAACCTATGCATGCGGGATGTACAATGTCGAAGCATATTGAGCATTCTACCAAACTCGATGGAGCTGTAGGTGTTGGCTTTCCTATATCAGAGATTAACATATGAAGTATCTCTACTTATTACTTAAGTAATACATAATCGATGCATAACAAAATACATACCCATTAACGGAGCCGGTGGCTGACCCCAGCCGTCTAACCGACATACTTTACAAGCTGCAGTAACTGGAAGCATAGGCCTCAAACACTGCCTCATTAAACAAGTCTGTTTGGCACGACCACTCCCACCAAATTTCACCATATCCTGACAGTACATACATTCCCCACAATCAGTTCTTGTACATGCTTCACACTTTTTACACCTAGTACGCCTTCGTCGCGGAAAAGCTCTTTCAGATTTTTCTTGTGAGTGATGTCTCTGTATCTTTGTAAAACTTTTCTTAGTTATCCTCAAACGTTCCTGTTTTGTAGTAATGCAATAAAATGTAGGTAAATATTAAGTGAGAGATAGCTATCAATAAAAACTAACATTCTACATACCCTTTCAGCAATTGTTAAAGCAGGTGGAGATGGCAAAACAGCATTCCCTGTTACAGCTGCTTCTGGATTATCATGTCTGTGTTGTTCTACTAGACAACGAACATCATGAATTAAGGCAACAGGATCACGAATTAGCTCAGGCACGTTCTTCTTAGTAGAAGGTAGTGAATGTAGATACATAACTATTGCTTTTAAACCATGTAATTCAAACGGTGTTAAATGTACATGTTGGTGGTGCTGTAGTACTGCATGCTGACGTTGTGATTCAGTAATGTCCAAATGACTTCTGTCTAAGAGAACATGAACATACCTCTCCAAGACATACCTGACAATAAATAACAAAAGGTTGTTATATATATGGTATCGAGAAATATCTTCAAGATTATCTAAATAACATATCATACCATAACATTTCAGTAAAAAAGGGATATCTAAATTTTTGTGGAACTTTTGTATGTTCTTCTACTTGCGCAACTTTCAATTGCTTTTCAATGCCAAAACTATGTAAAAAGTTTCCACCAAATACTAAAGAGTCTTGAGGAGTATACACAGCATGAATCCAACCAGTTGGAATAAACAAGGTCATGCCAGCTGTTAAATTTATTCTACCACACCTGTCTACCATATCTCCAAAAAATACATCGGACTGTTTACCACTTAGTACCCATTCTTGGTAAAGAGATAAATTCTTTTCAGTAGGAGGGATAAGCCAAAATATTTTTCCACCCCTTAGGATATGATACCAAACACTAGTTCCACCAAAGTCAACATGAAAGTCTGTATAACAACCTTTTACAGACATGAGACAATACTTTTGTACTTTTGGATACATCATATCTTCCAACAAATTTGTAGATTCCACTTGTGCTTCTTTCAGATGTCTTGGCCACACAACATCTACCCAATCAACTTGGCGTACTAATTCAGGAGATTGTACATAATTTTCTAACTTAGTATGGCTGAACTCTAACGAAATCACATTCAACAGCCGTTCTTTGTTAGGATCTTCATAATACTTTTGCCACTCTTTCATTGTCATATCTTCATTCTTCTGTGTGTTGACATCCATTACATCCAATATTCTTTTTGAACCTGATAAACATTGATAATGAATATTTTTTAACATTACATGTACTGGATAAAACATATGTTAATACAATAGTTTTGTCGCATAATTATAAAACAAACATACCAACACAGGTTCTGACATCATTAACAGAAAAATTTGAACTGGGAACCCGTAATCCCAAACCAGATTTGTCTCTGAAAAGCAATGGTATGCTAAGACCATGTTTTTGCAGATATGCTAAATTTAATTCAGAACCAGCCATTTCGCGGAATAATCCGCTGAAATTGTTAAGATTGTATCTGTCGCACTCGATTTTTTCATCGAGTTGGAAAGTCCTCCGACCCTCGATTTCCTCATCGCCAATGGTCCAGTCATCCGTATATAACTTTCGAGTTCTTTCTCGCTACGATAAAATTTATAACGAATACTTAATTTTTATTCAAATTGCGTAAAGACTTCATATAAAACAACTGCATTTAATGCTAAATCAAAAAGGTATGTTTGGTTTGTTTACCAATTGACGCCTTTTTGGCAGAGAAGTAGAGTCATCGGCCATTGCAGACACGCTGTCAGAAACGTATCACCGAAAACTCATCGAATATTAAATATATATTGTCCTTTGAAGGTTAAACTGATTCCTTTAATATTATATCAACAGAATCTCGTTTATTATTAACATGTCACGCACAACAGCCTAATGTTAACATCGAACTTTTCTTTGATTTTACTTTCCCAGTAAAATGAGGTCGCCATTTTGTTGCCGGCCAATGCTACCAATAAAAGCCATAAAAAATTTTAAATTATTTCCTTTAATATTGCGTTACATTTTAAATATATAAAATTTTGTAATTTTTATCTCTATATAATATCATGATACAAAGGTATATATTTTTCTAAATTTTTATAATTGTCTAATTTTTAATTGTATTTCCTATAAGATATTAGCAATAATCTAGAGATTTTGCGTCACTTCAGAGAACTATTGATGTGTCCTATATTATAAGTATTAAGTACTAGTAGTATCTTATATCGCGTAGGTATTTTTTGAGACAATTTGGAATTGAATGCCAAATGTTGACATATTTATTTGCAATAAGATGATTTAAACTTTTTATTTTTTTATACTGCTTGAAAACATTAATCATTAACGCTCTCAAATTTTTTTACATCTATAAACTTTAAAATATTTGTCGAAGTGAGGAAAGTTTTGAAAAGCAAAAGTTTCAGTAAACGAGTTAACCATGATGAGCCTTCGTGACAGACAAATAAATGCTTTAAAACTGATGTTAAATTTGAATCAACCAGAACAAAAGTTAGAAGATGCAATACCAGTGTGGAAAGTTTTAATTTATGATAGGCTTGGACAAGATATTATTTCTCCATTAATATCTGTAAAAGAACTCAGAGAACTTGGTATTACACTGCATATGCAGTTACATTCTGACAGAGATTCTATTCCTGAGGTGCCAGCTATTTACTTTTGTGCACCAACCGATGAAAATCTTGGTAGGATCGGACAAGATTTACAAAATGGATTATACGACATTTATCATTTAAATTTCATATCACCAATAACTAGACAAAAGATGGAAGATTTAGCAGCTGCAGCATTGCTTGGAGGTGTAGTGTCAAATATTCATAAAGTATTTGATCAATATCTAAATTTTATATCGTTGGAAGATGACTTATTTATCCTTAGACATCAAAACAGCGATGTCATATCATATCATGCAATTAATCGTGGTGAAATTAAAGATACTGAAATGGAATCTGTAATGAAAATCATAGTTGATTGTCTTTTTTCTGTATTTGTTACATTGGGCACTGTTCCAATTATAAGGTGTCCAAGAGGAAATGCAGCAGAAATGGTTGCTAAAATGATTGACAAAAAGCTAAGGGAAAATGTTTGGGATACCAGAAATAATTTATTTGAAAGTGAAGCAACTGGGCATTATAATTTTCAAAGACCACTTTTAATTATATTGGATCGTAATATAGATATGGCCACAACATTACATCATACATGGACCTATCAAGCATTAGCACACGATGTGTTAGAAATGGCATTAAATAGGCTTGTTGTTGAAGAAAATGTGGGAAGGTCTCCTGCAGGTGGAACACGTTCAAAGACTAGAGCTTATGAACTGGATAACAAAGATAGATTTTGGTGTCAACATAAAGGCAGTCCATTTCCTAGAGTAGCTGAAGCTATACAGGAAGAATTAGAACAGTATCGTACTTTTGAAGATGATGTAAAGAAGCTTAAGTCATCTATGGGCATTGATAGTGATAGTGAAGTAGCATTATCAATGGTTTCCAATAATACAGCACGTTTGACAAGTGCTGTTAATAATTTACCGCAACTCTTGGAAATGAAACGTTTGATAGACATGCATACATCAATTGCAACAGGTATTTTAAATTCTATTAAGTCTAGAAGACTCGACACATTTTTTGAGTTAGAAGAAAAAATAATGAGTAAGCAAACATTAGATAGAAGTGTATTGGAAACAATAAGTGATCCAGATTGTGGTACTCCAGAAGATAAATTACGTCTTGCTATTATATATTATATTTGTACAAATATGTCAGATAGTGAATATAGTAAACTGGAGGCAGCATTATCTAATGCTGGATGTAACTTAAGTCCTCTAGTATACATAAAAAGATTAAGAAGTTACACTAGAATAGCAGAAATCCAAAACAATTATGAAGGTGGTGGAACTAAAACAGTTAGTATGTTTTCGAAACTAATGAATCAAGGATCATCTTTTGTAATGGAAGGAGTAAAAAATTTAGTGGTTAAAAAACATAATTTGCCAGTTACTAAAATAGTCGATGAATTAATGGAATCAAGGCAGTCTTCTCAAACAGATGATTATTGTTATTTAGATCCGAAGCAATTAAAACATACAGAACAAATGCCAAAGAACAGACCAACATTCCAAGATGTAATTGTTTTTATTGTTGGTGGTGGAAATTATATAGAATATCAGAACTTAGTGGATTATGTGAAACAGAAAAGTGGGGCTGGGGTTAACAAACGAATTACATATGGTTCAACAACATTTATTAATGCAAAGCAGTTACTTAAACAACTTTCACTTTTGGGGGAAGAAGTTCATTCGTAAAATTTACTGTTTATACAATGATTATTCATAAAAAATACTTATCTCCTACTTTCTTATAGCGTACAATAATTTTTCACATTGCTGTTATTGACTCTTTGTAAAAATGTAAAATAAATAAAATACGTTTAATTATTTTAGATATAATTTTTCTAATTGTATTTACCTGCTATAGAAAATGTCATATCAACGTGGTGTTAGCTAAATTATGTTTGATTAAAATATAATATATGTTAAAAGATCTAGGGATATTTTGATGATAAAGAAACAAACCTGTATTTCGAATTGTTTGATCAATGGATCATATATATACATATATATATCTAACATCGTTTCGTGTTCTATCAGAAATATACTGTCATTATATTAAATTTATTTACTTATTCATTTATACCAATATCAACTTATAACAAATTAAAATGGCTGCCGTGCAAGAAGAAATAAAAAATTTTATTCGACGAGCTATTATTACAACAGATCCACAGGAAGCTGTCACGGAGTATTTTTTGTCGAAACAGGAAGGACGTAATATTAAGTAATGTAACGAAATTAACCATTTCGTACAATTAATTTGTGATACATTACAAGTATATTTTGTGTATTCTTTTATTTTCAGTTCGATAACAATTAGGAAACTGATGTAAAATTCTGTACAAAAGGTTGTCAAAGTATCTTATTTTTATGCTTTTCCTTTATATAATTTTAAAAGAAGCTAACATCTCCAAAGATATGTGAGTTGTGTGTTTTATGTATTAGAAAGTATCCTGAATGGGATAAGCCAAGAGTTTACCCGGCATTAGAAGTAGTTAGAGCGCGTTGTGAGTTAGCAAAAACCGAAGAGAGATTACGTGCAAAATGGGTCGAACAAGAGAAAAAAAGGAAATTCATGGACGAGCAATGGGACGAGATGAGACGTCAGGAATTGGTCCTCCGAGAATCATTTATAAAATTCAATAGATTCGTGAGGGAAAATCAAGAAAAACGTGATCGTGCTGAGAGCAAGATTAAAGAAGAACGCGATCGTCAATTAAATAGATCGGAA